AAAAAAAAAAAAAAAAAAAAAAAAAAAAAAAAAAAGCAAACAAAAACAGACAATCTGATAGCTTTCTCACATTTCCTCCGAAGTGTCAATTATCTTCCACAGGAACTGCAAAAATATACCAGCAAGTATTTACAAACATTAAGAAACGATGAAGACCGATGTGAAAACAAGCATTTGCATGCCAAACTGGGTCTGAGCAACAGAATATTTTCTATGAGACTCTTAATTTTACTTTTCAGGAATACAGTTGCCTATTTCCAACATCTCCTTTCCCTGGGAGGTGAGGTCTACCTGACTAAAACTTCTACATCTTTTCACTAGCAACTTGCCTTGGAAATCCCAAAACCTCCTCTGCTCCAGGTTCTCTGTCTTTATGGGAAGACCACAGCCCAGGCACAGCATTCATCTGCATTAACTTATTTTGAAAAGGCATGAGACAAGAAGGAAGGAATAGCATTTGCTTCTCCCTAACAAGTTCACTTGCACTATATACGTTACAGTGCAGTTGAACCTGAAACTGTATTTAACATCTTTTCCTTTCACTGCACTTATATTGCTTCTAATGCAAATAAACTTCTTTTTTTAAAAAGCCAAAAAGGGAAATGAAGGTGGAAAAGAGGAACAATGAACTGAAAATAAAAACCACACTGTAGAGTTTTCCTGAGGCTTCTTCTATTCCATGAGAGCACAGTTCTTACGCAGCTTCTCCATTCCCTTGCTACCTTAGAGGTGGACCCTTTAAGAACCACAAAACCAAACACAAAGAAAGGTACTGCTGAAACATCCATGCACATACATTATTTCCAAGAAGAACATCAGATTTACAGAAATCGTCCTGCACCTCCCAGACACCTAAACACAATTCCATCCATTCACTCCCAAAATTTTATCAAGTTCCAGCCACTTTCCTTGAGGGAAAAAAAGTCAAGCACCAGATTGCAAGCATATAAGCATCTAAAGTTACGTTTCCTAGGCTTAGAAAGCATACCTTTAAAAAGTGTTCTGCTTCTTTTTCTACTGTTATTTTCCATTCCTACTGCTTTCCTGGCAGCCAGACAGAGTACATTACCAGTTAGTGGCTTTGCCAGTGCACAGCAGAGCATGACTCCTTGATGGCTGCCTCCAGGAAAACCACGTTGGCTGATAAAATGATGCTCCAACACCACTGATGCTGCCACAGATAGTAGAAAAGCTTTCAGGAAGTGCAGTAGAATCCAAACTTGGACTGAGACATAATTCTCAAGTCTTGGGTAATGTTTCCATAATCACTCATAATAGGACAGCACCCAGTTAGCCTAAAAATCTGGTCAACTTTTTCTACTCAGCCTGAGCACGTATGCCCCAGTTCCAACACCATGACTATATTCTCAAGTGAATACTTAAATTTTGTGAGTTCCACTCCTCTTCCACGCAGCACTGGTTCCTCCACTAAGTATCTAATATGGGAACAAAATAGATTTAGCAAAAGAGGCACTACACAAAAAGCATCCCTTAATACAGAAAAAAATAAAAAACAACAAAACCTTCAAGAAGACCTTTCTGTCAGATAAGTGCTCTCCCTTTAAAAACTTGATAGAACACAGAGACTGGCAAACTGCAGTCTCTTCAGGATGGCAGAAATAAGAACCTGCACAGCTGCACTAATAGCTTACTTCTTGAAACACCATTCTACAACACACTAAGGTCTATTAGGCAAGCCAGATGCAAAATACTCCAGACACATGACAGGATTACTTGCAGATTTGGGATTCTGGAATAAGTTCACACAGACAGATAATACTGTTTGGGATCCTGCAGAATGAGCTGACAATAAGTTACATAACATGAGACATATGTATTCAATTAGCTGTTATTATGAAAGAAAACATGCTCCCCATTGGCCAAACATAACCCAAACCTCTGCCTTTCTCAACCTATTGGCTGTTTGTCTTGCAGATAGGGTATGCCTGGTAGCACGCTGGGATGGAGCCAGATGACAGGGATGAAATGAAATAGTCCTTTCTTCTGGAATAGATTTTAGGGCTGCAAAAGCATAACAAGATGTCCTGGTTTCAGCTGGGACAGAGATGCATTTTTTCATATTGTCTGCTGTCACAGAATCATAGAATAGCCTGGGTTGAAAAGGGCCACAATGATCATCGAGTTTCAACCCCCATGCTATACGCAGGATCACCCATGACTAGAACAGGCTGTCCAGAATCACATCCAGCCTGGTCTTGAATGCTTCAGAATGCTATGCTTTGGCTTTTGGAAAAAATAAGGTTGATAACACACCAGTTATTGTTTCAGTTGTTGCTGAGCAGTGCTGTACAGAGCCAAGGATGTTTCAGTTTTCAGCTTCTCCTACTGTCCTGCCAATGAGGGGGGCACAAGGAGCTGGGAGGGGACAGAATCAGGACAGTGGATCTAATCTGGCCAAAGGGATATGCCATGCCATATGGGATTCACACTGCGTAGAAAACTAAGCCAAAACTAAGTAGTGAGCAATTGCTTTGAGCATCACTTGTTTTATAAATACATATATTATCATTACTGTTATTTCTCTCTTCCTTTTTGATCCTAGCAAATAATTTTATCTCAACCTAAGAGTTCTACTTCCTGAACCTCCCCCCTGCCCCCCTTCACTCTCTTCTCCCTCATCCCACTGGGAAAAAGGGGAGCAAGCAAAAGGCATTGTAAGGCATTCAGCTATGTGCCAGGTCAAACCACAACACAGGCTCATAAAACCCAGAAAATTCTGGATAAGGGAAGACCAAACCAGTAAATACAGTAGAGCTAACAACATGCAGATTCTGAACTCCAACAATGCAAATTCACATATCACAAGGGAGATATTACTCCTGACCCTACAACAGGCACAGGCCAACCAAGAACATGATTAGATCAACTAAGTACATCACACATCTTCTTCCCTGAGCTGCCATAATGAAAGCAAAACTCTAAGTCATAGACTAGTCTTGTCCTGTAGTTACTGGACTCTTCTAATAGAGCACTTAGGAACTGCCAGTCCGCAGCAATCATGTCAACGCTGCAATACCAGAGGAGAGTTCAGACTTGCCCAAATATTGCTTTCATGAAAGAGCAGTGGTATGTTCTTAAAAGCAGGTGCTTCCCAATTCCAATAAGAAGAAATACCTAACTTTAACAAGACAGAAGGACACTCAGTGTGATCCTTCATCATTGTTGTACATGTAAAAAACACAGAATAAGAACATATTCCCATAAAATGCCACAACTGCTGCAAGAAGCTGACAGTGAGACTATGACAAACGCAGAAACTGCCCATTTTTCTTCTCTTGTTACAGTCACAACACAGCTGATAAGACCATGTTGCAATAGCTGATGCAGTGAAAAGCTGAGTAACAGAAGCATATCAAACAAGTAGGCATCAATATGAATCATCGTGTAACTATTCTAAGAGTCATATAAAAGCCCAAACACAAGTTCCTTCTTTTGGTGTTCACTACTTAATATACAGGAAGGAACCACGTAGTTCTTAATTGAACACATGAGATTGTGCTGATAAAACCATAATGACCACACTGCCCATTTTATTGGAGATTATGCAGAGGAAAAAAATAGAAGCTACTTTTCAAGTAATCTGAGGCATATGAGTGAGATATTGTTTGCTCTATGGGCAATGAATCATCTATTTATACAAGCTTCATCAGGCAGTTTAAATATTTATCCACTGGATTGGCAGCATACTGGTGTAACAAGTCAGGCAACCATTAATAGGTAGTTCCTATACATAAAAATCTATCATTAAGTTATTTTTTCCAAATAATATATTTAGAAATCTATTTGAAAAAAAAATGCTTTGCAAAAACCAGAAACTATTGCATCTCCTGTTTGCATAATGACTTATAAATGGTCATTTTGAATTACCTTTCTTTTGAGCCTTTTTATCCTGCATGTGCATTCATCCTTCAGGTGTATTTCTACTGGTGAGGGCTCTTCACAGCACCCTCCTCACACAAAAGCTTTTTTTATGAAATTTGGGAGACGTTCAGCTAGTTTACAAAAGGCAGAAAATTAAGAGACACCGATCTCCTGACTTCAAAAAGATACATATATTTTTTTTGTTTTAAACAAAGAAAATCAAGCAGAGGAAAATCTATTTCTTGCATATATTTGATCAAAATATTTTTATACTTCATGGAAAACAATAACTTATATAACACAAACATCTAAAATTATGCATTCTTTATTCGATTTCTAGGTGTAGAGCCACTGATGGACTTCAGATAACAAATATTACAAGAAAAACTTGTATCTCACCAAAACTGAGTTTATTTTATTGTAGAAACAAAGTGTCAGCAATCCCATGTTTTAGATTAACCCTTCTCAGAGTCACATTCAAGCCTAGCATATTGTGACTGCATTTCATTTAGTAGACATCAATTCTTAAAAATTGATTTATGGTGACTTAGCTCAGCAGTCTGTCTGTTGGCTTCTCAGCAGACAGCTAAAGCTTCAGAAGCATTAAAGTGTGAAACGAAAGGAAATTAAACCAAAGAATTGCTCTTCCTGTGTATCAACGTAACAGATTCAAATGCATGTGTTTGAGAAACTTCAGTTCCTCTTAAAATGAGTAACCTGTCCACAACAACATCACTGTAAAGATTATTAATAGGAGGCAACAGCTTTGTTACAGGGGAAAAAAAAAAACAAACAAAAAACAACAGTCCAATTAAGTAATAAAAAACAACCAGCAAGTCCTTAAAAATTTTAAGAACAATTATGTAGTTGTAGTTGTCTTTTTGGCCCCATTTATTGAATACTTTTCTCTCCCAGTATGATGACAGTGTTTTAAATCAAGTGGAATCACTGACCTGTAAGCTCTGAGCCGGGCTTTCACCAAAACTGTGCTTTCCGGAACTGCTAAAAGTTCTCTAGGAAAAAAACAATAAAAACACCATACAGAGAGATAGGCAGGAGAAGTCTGATATCTCAGCACAAACAATAACACTAGCTTCTAGCTGCTAGCTGGAGAATTATACTTTACTATAGCATGGACATCGCGCAAACCCTCCAATAGCCAAGCAGCAGTTCTCCAGTCAGCTGCCCTTCCATTCTCTCTAATACCAACTATGTGCACTCAGCATTTATTGCTCCTGGGAGGCAACGCACACAGTGGCTCTGAACACACGCACAGCAAACGGGCCGATCCCTGGAGCCATTAGGTGAGTGCCCACGCACTGCTCACCTACTGCGTGGGCTTGCTGATAAGTCTCCTGGGTGTGAGAAAATCCAGGAGTTGCCACTATCACCCAATGAGAACTCATTCATCCAGCTCAAAGGGTGGTGACACACTGGAACAGGTTGCTCAAGGAGGCTGTGGATGCCCCATCCCTGAAGGCATTCAAGGCCAGGCTGGCTCTGGGCAGCCTGGTCTGGTGTTTGGCGAACCTGCGTATAGCAGGGGTTGAAACTAGATGATCGTTGTGGTCCTTTTCAACCCAGGCCTATGATTCTATGATTCTAATTGTGCTTTGGATAGAATAGTGAGTCAACACACACACCAGGATCCGGATGCAACATTAGGAGGATCTATTGGAAATAACCCTTCAATCATAGAAGAAAGTCTGATCCAAACCATCAAGACAATTTCTTTAACAGAAATTCTGACACAGCAAGCCAGACCCAAAACAAAAATCCTTCAGAAATCTTTTGATCATTGAGCAAAGTCACCCAAACACCAGAGAAGCACCACATGGGAAGTAATGTTAAGCACCAAATGAAGAAATTCAATCAAGATTCATTCAACATCAATCAAGGGAACCATATTTTCACCTCCTGTCTAAGTAAGAGTTTCAGTAAGCCACACCACAAGTTAATGTTATTAACGTTAATAATCATAGTCCAGTTGATCCAAGAAGTAACACTGCTAGGTTTACCAGGAATTAGTGCTGACAGATGCTAACTTGGCAATGTATTATTTATGTTGGATGGCATCGTGACTTTCACTGAAAAATGAAAAGCATTCATGAGGAAGGAGACAATGTAAGTTACCTTTTCATTTTTCACTAAATAACAGGTATTTCTTAAAGGCTACCAAAGCAATGACAGCATCTACCTTACTCTAAATCAGAACAGACACAAAACTCCACCCCAGGTAATAACATTAAGCTGACCCACCCGCAAAGATGAGATTTTAAGAATTACCAAATTGATTTTGCCAATGAATTGCCAAATTACCCCACATCTACCCCCCAGAAATGGATCCTCATCACACCTATACAGTTACAAAGGCTTGCTTCCTTATAGCATTAATTCTGTTACACATAACACACACACAGAGGGAAAAAACCTCTGAGTTCTCTCTAACATCAGAACAGAAAAACAAGGACTTCTGTCCGGTTCTTGCTTCTCTGCACATCCTTCTTGCTTACTTTGTCTGCTTCTAATGAGTATCGCTAGCACAGTGTTCTGCCTGCTCTTTGAAACAAATCTCATCTCTCCCGCTATACAGGCAGGTGGATCTATAAGCATGTATAAAATGAAATAACAATACAAAATGTAAGTTAATACTTAAAAACTCAAGTGGAAAGAAACCCCACCTAGGGCTCAGCTTGACTCTAAATACTGGTGTTAAACACACTCTTTTCATACCATCGCTGGAATTTCTTTAACCTGAACTTCTGGAGCCATGAAATGCCCAAGGAAACGAATGCAGGGAGCAGTGCTGAAGGGCTGTTTTCACACTTTGAATACGTGCTTAAAGAAGAAGCGGAGAGCTCTCGTGTTTTAACGCTATCCTAGCCAATAACACGCAACGGCAAAAAGGAAAAAAACAGACAACACTGTAAGAACAGCAGCTCTGTAGGTGCAACAGATCTTGTTTGTCTTAGTTCAAGGAAAGATGACAACGTTGCCAAACTCCTCTCCGAAGCCCGGAGGCGCCGACAAAGCAGTCTTAAGAAGAGGCCCCCGGGACTCGTTCACGCGGAGCTCCCGGAGCTCGGGGTGCGGCGGGGCAGAGCCTCACCCAGGGCTGCCGCTCGCTGCTGCTCCCGCTGAGCCGCGTCCCAGCAGGAAGGCGCGCACCGCGGCCGGCCTGCACGGAGCGGGGTGCCCCGGCCCTACCCCGCCGCAAAGCACCGCCCGGACCGGAGGCGAAGCGAGTCCCAAGACGGGCAGGCTCCGGGCCCCACGCGGGCAGCACCCGATCCGGCCTCCCGCGGAACAGCCGCCGCCTCCCCTGCACTAGAGCCCGTCACTCACCTGCGGAGCCGGATCGGGGCCGGCGTAGCGCTGTGCGGACCCTCACCCCGCGGCAGCTGTGGCCACGCCCGCACCGAAAGGGGCCGCCCCGCCCCGGGGCACTGAGGAGAGCATGCGCGACTTCTTGCTGAGCGCCGGCCCTGCTCGCTCGCTGGCATCTTCTCCTCCCCCGGCGGGCGGCTCCAGGCGATGGCCTCTGTCGTGGCGGCGCTGGTGCAGCCCCTTCGCCTCCGTCCCGCCCGCCTGGTGCCGCTCCTTGGGCCGCTCCTGAGGGAGGCGGCGCGGGGCTGGCGGGGGCTCGGCGGGAGCGAGGTACCGGGCGGCGGCGGCGGCGGCTGTGCGGGCCCGCTGTGCTGGGCTGTCAGCAGCGGCGGGAGGCGGTGCAAAGGGTTGTGTCTCTGGAAGTTGGGGTCTTCGTGCTCCTTTGAAACCATAGCAAAAGAAAAGACTTAATTCGGAGTTACGGTGTTTATATCCCCGGCAGGTGCTTAAAAAAAGCCTTAGGAGGGGGGTCACTCTCGCCACGGGGTCCTTCGTGCTCTGTGAGGCTCTCAGGCTGGTCTCCGGCTCTGCTGTGGTTCATGCCAGCTTCAAAGGTAACGCGCGAGGAAGGCAGTGCTGTCAGTTTGCCTCTGTTTTTTGTTAGTGCTCTCACGTGGGTTATGCACTACACTGCTGAGAGGAGAGACGTTGTTGTTCTTCCTATGAGAAACAAGGAAGAGATACTGTCTAAATAAGAGTAAAAGGGAATAGACACGCAAAGAAATATAAGCCTAATGACTTAGGTAATGTCTAAAACACCTAGCAAGCACTTTGTTGAAAAGTCTGAATTCTCAGCCTTCAGTCATTACGATAACGGTGTTCGAGAGCACCTCAGGAAGCAAAGATAACCCACAAAGTTAGGAAGATGTGCTCTGTGGTCCAATGTCCATGTGGACGAAAACAGCTGGGAGTCAACATTTAGGGAGAGCAGAGTTAAAATGTTACGCGGAGCGCTCTCATCTAGAGTGAGTTCTGTTTTAGGAGCTTTTTCAGTTGAAAGTGGAGTTGTGTCGTTTAGTAATCTTTTATTTATTTGTTTATTCCATAATGAAAACCACGCTGCTGCAAAACGCAACAGCCATATCACAGCTGCCATGTTCAGCACGTAACTTGAAAAAAAAAACAGGATGCTTACACAAGAGAGAAATTTCTGAAGCAGGACTTGAGCTTATGTTTTCACTTAGATGTTTGATCACAAACCAAGGACAAATACCAGAGATAAGAGTACCTAAATATTCTAAGAAAATAGGCAAAGCTTTGGACTTGAAAATATCATTTTTTTTCATGTTTTACTGTTGGCAGAACAATAAGCATAGAATTTGTTGGTTGTTTTTTTTTTTCTTTTTCCTATACAGCTACATGCTTCAAAAGAATGATCAACCTGCTTCCATTTGTGTTTGTTTTTTTTTTCCTTTCCTAATTCCCTTTGTTCTCATGTTAGAATCCTGTATTATGTATTGTCTATGAAATGTTATTTCATGTACTGTATACATATATATATCAGATTATTACATTAATTCATTTACATATTTATCTTACTGCGTCACTTTGCTGCAGGGAAGTTGGACTCATTGCAGGCAGTTGGATTGGATGACCTTTCATGGTCCCTTCCAACTCAAATGATTTTGTGGTTCCATGATTATATTCAGCTTGTTGTGGAAATAGTGATCCCATGTCTCTGTTGCCAGTTTTAAAATGTTTTGTAGAAAAATGTATTTAAATGTCATAAGTACAGTGGATGCTGAGGGCATAAATAGATGCACTAAAAAGGCAGCTCTGATTTTTTTCAAAATCCTTAAGGATTTCCTCTGGAAGATCTCTGAGCAGCTTTTCGTTTTGGTTTGCTGAGTAAAAGAATGAATCCTACTCAGCCTGCAGTTGTCTTTAGCAAGACTGTGGAACCATATGAAAACCAAGAATAAAATTGTGTGTGTGTGTATATATACACATTTAAAGTGATTAGATTTAAACTCTGCATTTGCTAATGAAGGTGTTTCAGCACTCACTACTGCATTTGCTTTTCTGGTCATATTTTTCATGCTTTTTTAAACTTTCCTGCCTTTTTCACAAAGAAATTGCTTCTGCTGTCTGATGTGTTAAGAAGAACGCTATTAAGTGTTAAATCCATTAAGCACCCTAAGCTGTCTGTGTTACTGAAAGCCATTTCTTAATTCCATATATTTGGCACTGTATCTCCGCCTGGTTGTTCACTGTAAGCAGCTTATCTGAGTCTGCCGTGCAGTTGTGTACGAGGCCTAAAAAATTCATAACTTGTTCTTTGTGTTTCAGTTAAATTGTCTTGCTCTAAAACATTTTGTTTATGCCTTAATATCCTAATTACGTGTAATTTGTTCTTCTGTTTCCACGTTTTTCATCTGTTCTTAAGTGGCAGAAGTTATAGAGCAAGCAGACTACCTGTATGGGAGTGGAGAAACTGAAAAGCTCTATCGGTTGCTGGTTCAGCATAAAAATAGGTACTTGACTGCACTGAACATCTTCATGTTACTTTGACTTCTTTTTTTACTGTGTTTTTCTGTACCAGAGTCCAACTAATATTCTTATTGTGGTTTGCTGGAGAGCCTTCTTTCAACTTCTTTTTAAGTAGGAAAGCATTCTTGATTTTTTTTCCATCTGGTAGAAAAGTGAATGAAGAAATGACTTAATGATAAGATGGGAGGAAGTTCAAGTTGTGTTAGGGGAGGTTCAGTCTGGCTGTTAGGGAAAATATCTTAGAGCGGTGAGGTTTTGAAATGGGCTGCCATAGGAGGTGTTTAAGAACTGTGTGGATGTGGTACTTAGGGGCATGGCTAGGGGCAATATTGGTGGTAGGTGGATGGTTGGTAGAGATCTTTTCCAACCTTAATGATTCTGTCTGATTGTTAGCTGAATGCATTTGTGGAAACTGAGGGTTAGCCACAGTTTTTCATTCTTGCAGGGAGATTTTTTCTTTTCTTTGTTTTGTTACTTAGAAAATGCTTTAAAATATACTAGGAAAAAGTCATAATGTGTCTACACACAACTGCAATGACTAGAGTACCTAGAATTGAGGTATTGAAAACTTTTGGGAGTCATTGTTTCATTTCATGTTCATTGCTGACCAGCTGCTCCTTCTTTTAGTTTTCATTTGTCCCCTGTTAGGATTTGAGTCTGAATGAAAAAGCTCCTTACTTACACTGCCTGAGGATATAACTACGTATAATGTCAGGCTTCTATCTGCTGTTTGTTACCTTTAAGTTTCGTGCAGCCCAAATGCCAGATGATAATGCTGTCGTTGTATCACCCTCTTGAGATACATATTGAAAGACTGATTCGAGACCTTTGCTTGCTTTGTTGCCATTACTACTTAAAAATGTTGATGTTTCTGTTCATAACTAGTGAGGATGCAGAGTTGTTATGGCGGCTGGCACGAGCGTCACGAGATTTAGCTCAGCTCAGCATTACTTCTGCAGAAGAGAAAAGACAACTGGCATATGATTCCCTTGAGTATGCAAAAAGGGCACTAGAAAAGAATGAAGCAAATTCTGCAGCACACAAGGTAAGCCAAACAAAATAACGTAACTGAAATCTTGCTCTTTGATTTCTGCCAGTGGAAACCTCAAGTAATGTCATCGTTCTGTTTCAGCAAGCTTGTGTGTAATTTAACTTTTCAGTTAAAAAATGAGTGATTCTCACTATAATTCTCACTCACTTCTAAGTTTTGTATATATGTTTCTGAGATTAGAGTCCAGGCAGGATACAGGAAATGAAAGCTGGTTCAGTGTGTGCAGGATCAAACCATTTACAGTTGGTCTCCCCTGACGTAGCCTAAAAAATGTTTCACACCCCACCCTTCCAGCGTGCTGTATGTGTGTACCAGTAGTTCTGTAGAGTTCTGTTGGAGAGACTTCAGGTCTGGCTTTATTTTGGGCTGCTTCTCTCAGGTAAGTAGGTAACAAAGTATGATCAACAGTGTTAGCATCTTGGATAAGAAGAGGATGTTGATTCCATTATCCATTCAGGCTAGCAGGTTTCTTGGCACAGCTAAAACTGTTCATAACAAATACTTGCTGGGTGGTGGTGGTATCTGTCCTGTTTTTCTGTTTTTTTGTTTGTTTGTTTTTAATGTTAGTAGATATCGTGCTTTATTAAATATTTTAATTTTGTACTTTGAATTACAGTGGTATGCGATTTGTCTCAGTGATGTTGGAGATTATGAAGGAATCAAGGTTAAAATTGGAAATGCTTTTATTATCAAGGAGCACTTTGAGGTAATTTAAATGACTGCCTTAATGTGTCTAATACATGGGTTGTGTGCTAGTTAGGAATTATCTTTTGGTGAAAATTTGCAAATGTGAACTCTCCTGGTGTCAGTTTGATCTGAAGGTTATTGTGCTGGTTCAGGGTTCCAAATCAATGAGGAATAAACTTAGCTCCTGCATTAACAAGTCCCTGTGGAAGAGAGTGTTGAGACAACTGAAGTGCTGCCGACATCTCTTAGGCCTATATTAATTCTAGCTGTGCTACTGAGAAAAGGTTGTGTGGCCATCACTGTAACTGTGCATTAGGTACCAGCGAAAGAGAACGGCTGGAAAAGATGAAGAACGATGAAGGCCTGCTGACTAATTTTGTTCCACAAGAAATAAGATCAACAATCTCAGTATGTCGAGTCTCATGTGAGACTGACCTGCTAAACATAACTGCTCAGAAGTCTGTCAGTGTCTAAAGGTTTTGGAGATGAGTGGATTCACAGAGCAAACACGGTATCTTTGAAATTCTACACAAGGGTTATTGTGGCTTAATTAATAGCAGGGCAACAAGTCAGCGTGGTTTTTGTTGTTGTTGTATTTTAAGCCAGATGTGTCAAACTTTTTTTAAAAATAATTAATTTTATTTTCCTCCTGCACTAGAGAGCCTTTGAACTGAATCCGAAAGATGCAACATCAGTTCATCTTATGGGCGTTTGGTAAGTTAACATGTGGCAAAGAAAAATGCTA